CTACTCCCCAACAGGGACTTTACGTATATATATATATGGGGCCTTTAGAGAGACCTGCTCAGCCCAGCATGATCCTGCTCACCCAGCTACATCAGGACACCCCCAAATTAGCTTTTGCAACTGCTTCCTCAGTGTTTGATTTCAACAGCAGGAGTCAAGAGAGCCAACATCGTTCTGTACTTCAATAAAAAACACGGCCACTATCAGCATTAACATTATGGAGGGGAACTGCTACTGGGAGCAAAGGAGATGGGGACCCCAGAAAGAACTGGGCAACCTAAAGGTATCTTCAGATCTGCATTTTTTATGATATATTTCAGGCACCTAGTTCCATACATTAATCTACAGGCCTTTAGTTGAGTTTCATAGATTTGTGTTGATCTGCATTTGTGCTTTCATTGATATTTAATTGCCTAGGGAACTGTCTCTGAAGTTGGGCTATTTGTATTTAGTATTGATATAATGCCATCCCAGTAAGTGTAAATGGCACTGTAGAGATGAGTTAAAACAGCAGGTCTTTGCTCTAAAATGCTTAAAAATAACAAGCTAGTTCCACTTTACTGCACTGCCTTGATGGGGCAGATTTTGGCCTTAGATTAGAGAAAACACAGCTCAGAACAAAGAGATGGACGGGAAGGACTGAAGCAGGTCCCAGTCACTGTTAAATTCCTGTCTGTTTAGCAGAAGACTTCTTGTTCCAGGTTAGTACACAACATAACATCAGGCTTGCTCTTTGCCTGTTATTTATTTTGGGAAAAGTGAGACGAGCAGACATCGTGCAACCTGACAGCACAAATAAACCCCTGAGAAAACCAAAGCTGGCAAACAAAAAGCCCATGTACAGCATAAACACCAGTTCTGCAGGAAAATGCAGGGTTTTCAAGGACAGGGTTTTAACATCCTGAACTCGCAGACGTACTTTCCTTTATGGTGGGGTAGAGAATTCTGCAGAAAGCCTCTGGCATGGCCCATTAATGGCTTTGGAAGAAGCAGACTTGTACCAGAGACACCATAAAGCCAGACAGCAGAAGCCCTGATGATTCCACAGCAGCAACTAAAATCAAATTTCATGAACATAAATCACTGTGGGGTTTATTTCCCATTATTTCTAATAACATTTATTAGAAAGAATGTTCCCTATTAAAGAATAATGAAATTTGCAGACTGCCGCATGGATGAAGTTACAAAACTTTTCCAAGTTCAGTGAAGTTTAATGGTTCAGGATGTTTAATGGTTCAGGATTGTCCTCTCCAGTACAAAGTGGGGCTGCAGAGCTGAAAGCTGTAGGAAAACAGGAGGTGAGTTTTCCTCTATGTGCAAGGGCTGCGGCTACAGAAAGTCCATGTCTCCTTTATTCTTTCAGGTCCTAATGCCCATGTAAAGCCATGCTGTGCTCAGGGCAAGATCTGAGAGTTAATGTCAGTAAGTCACCCTTTTATTTGACTTATTTTCAGGCTGCTGTGAAAGTGTGTGATTCAGAGCAAGGAGTTTGGGATATGGTTCAAACTACCTTTTCCTAAAACCTTTGACAGTGGTGGAACAGCCTCTCTAGAAATAACATCATCAATTTTTTATATTCTTAAATGCCAGAAGAGAAGAATTTTAGCCATTAAAACAGTTGATGTTTGAACTGAGATTCTCTCCCAAGCTGTTTCATACAACTGAAACCAAGGGACGGCCTTTACAAGGGGAGAAGCAATTTAGGACATCAAAATGTCATTTTACTTGTCAGATAGTTCTGTCTGTCCCCCTATGCAATAAACCATTTTCGCTCCAATATTACAATTAAAATGCTGTCTATTGAGGTATTTAACAGGCAATCACATAGGAGAAAACATTTACTCCAGTAGCAGACTGGCAGCTTTCTCAGCAAGTTTCGCAGACACAGGAATGAGTGGGAATGAAAGAGAGCATTTTGTTTCCATGTACAAGGTCAGGAAATGCTCAGTTCGGGATCTCACCAGGAGTTTATTCAGCATCGCTCTTTGTCCCTGAAACCATCCTATTCCAAATCCTATTCCAAATCCTACTCCAAATCCTATTCCAAATCCTACTCCAAATCCTATTCCAAACCAGCAGTTGAGGCCAGGCAGAAACCAGAGTGAGACACACACACCATCAGCTGAAGTCTGGACAGGGAACAGGTTAATAACTCAGAAAGCTTCGTGAGTAAAACCATGCCAAGATTTCATTGTCCTTCCATCCCATCAGAGCAAACAGGTCTGAATCTGGCTACCAAACTCTGCCTCCTCAGTTTGTCCACGTTGACCTGTTTTCCATGATTTCCCTGCTGTCCAGCTCCCTGTTCACACAGGCACATCCTTCAAGACACTGGCGTTTGCTTGCCCTGACCCTAATCAGCAGCAATACACTAGCTCTGACTAAACCTTGTATTTCCCATACAGGAAACACATCTCCCATGTCCTGCCTGTGCATCTGTGCAGAACTTTTCCATTACAGACAAGGATTTCTTGTGAGAGGAGCTCAGCTGAAGAGCAAGTAACTCTGCATGCGTGATGCTGGGTCTGGCATTCAGTAGCCAAAGAGAGCTGTGAGCACAATCTGTATGTGCTGCGTGCATTCAGAGTCACAGGAGATGTTTCTGTGTGCCTGATCTTTCATACAAACATAGCACAGGATGGTGTAACCAGGCAGTACTTTAATTCCCAGGACCCAAATCTCACGCCTGAGCACTTCCAAACCTTGTCTGGAATTCAAAAGCAAATATAAATCATAGATTTCACTCCCAAGTTCACACTAGGACACAGCAAAACCCCAGATCCGAGCAACATAAAACCTCAGTACATCCAAAAATGGTTCATCCATCCTAGCACTGAAGAATTAGCACAACATGATCCACTGCATTTCTGAGTGAGACTTCAGAAGATTTGCTCTCATGTGGCACTCAGGGCTAAACTGCACTGCAGGCCTGCCCAAAACCAGGAGAGCTGAAGGGCTACGATGTCTGAACAGACCTGCACCTCGCTGGTGTCTGCCTGTGGCTTGGGGATCCGAGGATGGCCACAAGCTGCCATCGGTGTCTCTGTGAAGCCAAGCCCTGGACTTCATGGCACAAAAGGCTCCAGGAGCCAGAGCAGCCTGGGGAAGGTGAAGCACTCCCTGGGACTGCCCTTGCTGTCCTGTCTTGGGTCAGCTAAAGCCAGAGTGCAGCCCTGCACCTGAGGAGATTCATGGGTAAAGAAAGCAGAATTGCATTTCTGTTGGCTCTTACTGAGTTAAAACAACCCCAAATGACCTGAAATGTTTTCAAACATTGTTTTTTCATCCCTAATTTTCGGACCGGTAACAAAATTAGGAAGATGATACCATAATTCAAGTGTAGTGAAGCAGCAGACAGAAGAAACTTCTTTCCTCCTCTGCACTCGTGGTATTTGGCTCACTCCTGCAAATTGTGCAGAGCCAATTGGACATGCAAATATGTGTACTCCAAGTTTGCATTTGCATTGCCGTGCTGCTATTCATAGCAATCCTGTCTCCCATGACCAGTTAGATTTGGAGTTGGCTCATTTTGCATAAAATCCCAGAAACCATCACAGAAAATGAAGCGAGCAGTTTACTTTGTGCAGACATGGGCCTGCACTTCCCAAAGTCTGCGTCTGCACGGCCTGCGAGTGTCTGAGTGCTTGGCGAGCTCGTTAAAACCCACGTATCTCTGCCATCTACATTCGTGCTTACTTGACCTGCCAGCCTACAGTTTGAACTGCAGGGATATTTGGGATTTTGTGAAGGTGCGGGGAAAGCGTCGCTGGTGCCATCGTGTGTGTCTCGATTTTGCATGCAAAACCTTCTGTCTGCAATGGCAAACACAGCAGCCCACAGGCTGAGGCTACCAAAATTTAATGAGCTTTGCAATCCCCGTTAATTCTTTGAGTACCTCCTGTGAAGTCTAGGGACATTTGTACTTATATATCCACACGTCCAGACACCACCAAACAGTTTTTACAAATGACCACAGTTTGGTTCCTTTCAGTCCAGAAATGCAGAGAGCTCGTGTTTAGATTTTATCAAGAAAAGAGACAGCAAATGTCAAACAAAGACAGGACCTGAAAGGAAATAAACAAAATACTTGTTTAAAAAGTTACAAAACGTGACAGCATTAATGGCACTTAAAGCTATAAGCACTTAAAAGATTACCACCATATTTCTCTCAACTCCTTCTCCTAAATTTCTTTTTTCCTTGGTTTTTTTCCGAGATTCTGACTGCAGCTCGTGTCTAAACCCAAACCCAGCAAAAGGGGCAGAGAGCCCTGAGATTCTGCGGTTGCCCTGGCCCTCCTTTGAATCGTGAATACACTCTTCGGCCTGTTTTTAAAAACTCAGATTCAGCTACAGAGAGCAGCGGTTTGCTGACATGCAAAAGCTATAGCTTTCCTTCTGCCTTCGGTTTCACAGCATTAAAATTGAAGGGTTTTTTTCAGTGGTAGAAAGTGTGAATGAGAAAATCTTTTAAAACCAGTTGGCCCACTGTTTTGTACATCTAGCCAAATAGCATTAAATTAATGTTTCTCTTCTTTTGAACAGCATAGCGTGAGATGTTGCATTTGCTTCCTATGCACTTTCTTGTTGTGAGTTTACACTGAATATTTCCTACATGAGAAAAAAAACCCCATGTGTCACCGGTGAAGATAAATGTACCCACAGAGGTTTTCTCCTTCCTGTTTTTTTAATGAAGAGAGCAATCCGACCCTTAAATACATCTGTGATGATTTCTCAGACCAGCGCCCAGCTGGTGGCTGTGTCCATGGACATTCTTTTGGAGTTTAGAAAGATAATGCATCTGATTCAAAAAATGGACCAAAAAAAGGAAAATACCTAGCTTGGATCACATGCCAAAACGTAAACGAAGCCTTACTGAAAGTTTCGAGTTCACTCCAATAATTTCTCCTCTTTTCAATCACCAGGGCAAGGCTTGATGAACGCGTTCTCCGTTACAAAGACACACTCCTTTTCATCCTTTCCAAAGGCTCTTCTCCCATAGCTGCCCTTTTTCTCGTATCACGCCATGGTGGTATTGCCATGGTTCAGTCTCTTCCTTCGTGTCTCGCCCTGGTAATCTTATACAGACTGAAATTTCCGTGTGCGTAGCTTTCTGTTGCCATTCTGCAGCGCTGTGTTCCTGATTTGTTTTGGCAGAGCAAGCTCGAGTCTTTATGGCACAGTGAAATATTCTTCGATGCTATATAATTCAGACTGAATAAGGAGTCTGTATAAGGCACGTGTCTCAATATATATATGTATATAAAAACACTAACATTGTTAATTCAAGTCAAGCATCTTTTACATTTAATTCCCGTCTTCAAGTAACGCTTTGTTTTCGTGTTCCTTTTCTTTGGTTTCAGTGGGGATCACTCCGTTCTGCAGGTCCGAGTGCTGCTGGATGCAGTTGGTCAGGACTGCCGTGCTAGAAGAGTTCTCAGAATTGCACATCTTCTCTGTCTCCTCTTCCTTCTTCTCTTCGTCCAGGGAGTAGTTTCGGAAGGTCTCGTAAATCTTACGCACATCCTCGGGGATGCTCTTTTTGAGGTCCTTGTTTTTTCTTTTGGTCATCTTCGCCGACGAACCAAACTTGTTAATGATATTGTCCTCGGACGCCCCCTGCCCGTGCTTGTTGAGCTGATCTGACCCTTTAAGGCGCAGGTTGTTGGGCCTGTTGTTGATGCTTTCCTGAGATGAGGCCTTGAAGCGCCCCGTTTCCAAGGCAGTGAAGACCGAGCGCTTCTCTGGGGAGAGCATGTCCAAGGAGTGGGCGCGCTGGTCCAGGCCCAGGCGCCTGCGCTCCATGCTCCGGATGGTGGCTGCCCGCTGCAGTTTGTCGTGGATCTCCACGCTCAGCCGCCTCCGCGTCTCTCTGAACTCTGCCGTCACGTTCGCTTTCCACTCTGCTGCGTGGGCTTTTATTTCGCCGACCTTTACGACAACAAGAGAGAGAAATGAGTAAAATAGAAAAGAAAAAGCAAAATGAAGCAACGGTTTTTCCCACAGAACAGCGGCACAAGCGCTTTCTTCTCTGGTGTAGAATCAGAGACTGGTCCCAGCTCTGGCCCCAAACTTCAGCAGCAAAATGGTTATACTGGGCAAGCTCTAAACACACCAACTTTTGACTAGCTAATGGCTTATGTGGCATATGACTTGTCTGCCTGCTTCACATTTTGCCACCCTGTATATTTTATATCTGTGTTATGTGATGGGAAGTGTTCATGCTAATCCCTCTTTGGTTACGAATGAAATCAGCAGTAAATGGTCAGGAGTGAGCAAAATTAATCACATATAGTTATACCAACATGCTTCTGAAAAGCACAACCACCAGTGTAGCCATAGAGTGATGTATTTTCCCATATTGCTCATGGATGGAAATTAACATTGAGAATAGCTATTAGATGATTTGAAGTGGACCTCTGACTGATTCAGTCTAGGGTCCATTCCCAGGGAAAATGGTATCTGTCTTTAATGGAGGTTTCCATCGCATAACAATCCAAATAGCACCCTCTCAAGCTGCAGGAGTTTCAAAACACATCAGTATTCTGCATGGGCACCATGAGCGTGTCCTGAAATGTCTCTCTGTTTTGTTCGGGTTTACTCCTTTGTACCTGAGAGCAGAATAATGACTAAGGATAAAGCTGCTGTACTGAATAACCATGTCTTCTGAAATGAGAGAAAAGAAGTGACCAAGCAATATCTCAGTCAGTGCAGGCCTTTTCCAAAGCTCAGCTAAAGGACAACAGACTCCTGATGACTTCAGGAGCCCACCAGGATCAATGGTTTGCTTGGGTTCTGCATCCAGTGGACCACGAGGAAGTCATCTTTGGTTCCTCAGGCCAGAGGAGCAGGTCTCCATTTAGAACTGCACCACCTGTGGCAGCAGGCATCTCACATCCACCATGAGAGATCGGATTCCCTATGGGTGCCTGCTGATGATCCTGACAGCCAAATTCTCTGTGAAGCCCCTGTATTCATGGAGATGCACAGAGGATGCACTGGGCCACAGGTAGCACAGCTGCCTTCATAAGTGATGAAGAGCAGTAATCCTCGACCAAACTTGGTTAGCTTTGCTAGGAATGCGGGAGAAATTCTATTGAAATTCTGTTTATAACATCCTCCACAATAGGCTTCTGCTCTAGAGTCGTGCCAATTAGCTTTTGTTTTCCACTCTTACTCGAGTGAAGCATTAGCAGTACTGTCTGTGAACCACAGAGGACCTGTTCTGAGCTATTTAATCATGTTCTCCCTGATGCTGACTACCCGGTTTCTTGAATTTTTAATAATATGGTAGTCAGTAAGGGGCCTGAATCTACAACCTTATTCAGAACTGTGTTCTCTGACATAGGGAAAGGAGGGAAAACTCAGAGCTGACTGGATACCAAGGGCAGTCAGTGGAGTAAACCACAGGGAGTATTGAGCATTGGTCATACAGAGCAGCATCCTTCTTTACACAAGTGGGAACCAGGCTCTTAAAGCTATCTCATAAAATCACAAACCACTGAGAAATTACTGGTCATACCTCTTCTTTTGTCTTCTTGGACAGGACTCTTAACCAGTCTCCAATCATACTCAGGACAGCAGCAAAATAGGCAAGGCCAACAAGGATCCAGAACCACACTAAGGGTTTATACCACTCCCGGTAATGGATGTCAGCATTTCCTCCTGAAATAAGCATATACCCATGCTTAGGAATCACGAGATGCCAAAACTATGACAAAATACCTGCAATTCTGAGAAAGTCCTTGAACTATTTCTTGACTCTTGCCAGCACGACTGTAGTTGTAATAACAGATGAGGAGCCTGTCAGATGGGAGGGACAGAGTCTGTTCTTAATTTAAGGCTCTTTAAAATCACCAATTGTTCTGCTGCCAGAGCACCTCGTAAACACTTCTGTTTGTATTGCTCATGCTCTGAAGCAAGTCTGAAATTCCTGCTTTGATAGTACTTGCAACAACATGAACTCGTTTCCAAGAAACACATTTAATAGAGCTTGTCCTCCTTATCTGAACTGCCTGCAGCCTGGTAGCTGAGGAACTTCACAGTTCAACCCCCTCAGGTTAAAGAGTTTCCAGATTTATTTGTTTTTAACTGCAGGATCAGAGGCTTATGTGCCCGAGAAAGAAAAGCAGCTTTGTCTTCCCCTCCAAATTAGGATATCTGACAGGGAGCCAACCCTGCATCAGCGCTGATAATAAGGATATACGGTCTGCTTGGGTATCGGTTATCGGGATGCATTCTCTGGTCAGCGACTTGAGAGGAGATATAGGTCAAATGAAGCAACAAATGTCCTATATTGTCTTCATGCGAGATTTAGGATGAGCTGGTAAAACAAGTATGTGAGACATTTGGCAACTCTAGCAGACTAAAAAGCCTAAAATAAAGGCAGCAGCACCAAGGCTGCTACCTACCATGGGACAGAATAAATTTTCCAAAGGAAAGCAACCACAACCTCAGTGTACAGACTCATTCCTACCACAGTGCCATGTGCACTGTAGGAATGAGAGTCAGGGGGAGAAAGGCACAGCCTTGTGCTGGTGAGAAAGTGCCAAGAGCTGCACAGCCACATCTCAACACGGGGAAGCACCGCCATCCTTGGTGGTACCTCTGCCTGAAGAGAGAGCATCAAAGAGCCGCACAGCCACATCTCAACACGGAGAAGCGCCACCATCCTTGGTGGTACCTCTGCCTGAAGAGAGAGACCCAAAGAGCTGCACAGCCACATCTCAACACGGTAAAGAACCACCCCTTGGTGGTACCTCTGCCTGAAGAGAAAGAGCCAAAGAGCTGCACAGCCACATCTCAACACGGTAAAGAACCACCCCTTGGTGGTACCTCTGCCTGAAGAGAAAGAGCCAAAGAGCTGCACAGCCACATCTCAACACGGTAAAGAACCACCTCTTGGTGGTACCTCTGCCTGAGGAGCAGGTCTGCAGGGGCCTCAGGACTGCACATTTCCTGGTCTTCAGTCTCCAATCTGCACCTCTGTACAACTCCAGTGAGCTTTTAGCACTTTTTGCAATCTGAGACATTTCTACAGCTCTTTAATTTTATCCAGACTCGGTATGAGTGCACATACAGTGATGGAGCCTCCCTGTGGAAGCTCAGACATTTGAGAACTGGCAGGGACCCAAATACTGGTTTTCATCTTAATCTCTCCCCATACACCGCATGAATCACTCTCTTTTTCCCAGTCTTTTTAAGAGTGGGAAACAAAGGGAGGTGGGGCCTGCTGTTGCTATGGTACGAGGCTCTTCTGATCATACGTGTCCCTGAGGAAGCTTGCTATGAAGCAGATTGTCTAGGTCTGTCTTACGGAGTAATCAGCTGAGAAAGTATGAGACCACTTCTGTCAGCCTATCAGATATTCTGCATTTGCAGGCTCCATCCACAATTGTATTTCCATCAGCAGTATGAAAGCTTTCCCAGTCTGGCAAGAGCTGGGACGTGTCCTTGGTGGAATAAATCAGCATAGCTGCATTGAAGTGGTTTTACCCAGTGCAATGAAGTATTTTCCCTTTGGTGTTGAAGGGACAGAGATAGGGAGTGTTAAGAGTGATAGAAAATAAAAATAACAGAGAATCTGTCCCCAAACCAGCAATGAACCCCACATCTCCTGGTGATAACCTGCCCTAAACTCTTATCATGAGATCGCCTCTGAAGATTTCTCATTCAGAGTCCTCCATTTGATTCCTGAAAAATCCTGGTTGATAGTAGCAACCCAGCTGTGTTTTATGTTCTCCTAATTATGTTGGATTTAGAATAATTTAATTACATATTCGGGGGTTTTTAACCTGTTTCACCACTAAAGGAAACAAAACTGAAGTGCGATATGCTTAAATATTGTGAATTATTTTTATTTCACGCTGCGATAGCACAAAGGCAGAATATCAGTGAGCTTCTCTTCACATTTAAGTGGTTAAAATGGACGGAGCTCACACAATCGCTTCTGTATCTGAGTGCTCGTAAAATGGTTCTTTTCCATATCTGGGGCTTCCTTTGTTCAGCGCCTTTTTTCCCTCAATAATTCATGTCTTCCATACCACCATGTCATAAAAAAGGAAGATCAATGTCTTGTCTACAAAAAGGCTTGTCTACCCCTCTTCAGCAAAGTTTATATATACCTGCAGTTTCCTTTGATGTTTCAACGCATTCATATTTCACTGATTTATAGAAAGTAACAAAACAGTACCATAATACAGCTGTTTGTAACACGGGCATCTTAATGCCTTTAATTAGGACCACTAACAGGAATGAAGTGGAGGGGTCATGCCCTAATGGGAGAAAAAATCCACTTGCTCTAACCATCTTTTTGTTACAAAACAGTAAAGTTAAATAAAACCTCTCATTTTTCCAGCTAACAGTCTGGCCTCCCTCTTTGGAAATTGCTAAGGATGGTTATTTACAGTTCCTGCTAGTACTGTATTAAACATGGAGAGAATCCTCCTAGCACACCTCCTCTTTCTATGCATACCCTGTTACTCCTTTTCTTCCTACATCAATTTTCCTTAAGGGGCCAACTGCACTGTCAACATTTCAGCCAAGGTAAGAGGACAAAATCCAGCTCCTGCTATGCTGCAGCTCCTGCAGCAGCAGCAGAATACTGCATCTGACTGGAGATTCCTCCAGCCCTGGGGCTCAGCCCTGCCTTGTAAAAGCTTTGTTCAGTCATCATTTGGCTGCTTGCTTCAGCAACCGGCCTTGGGTTGAGACCTAACGCACCAGCACAGCAGAAAGGGGCCTGGGGGTGCTGGTGGCAGCAATGCCCATGAGCCAGCAATGTGCCCTTGAGCCAAGAAGGCCAACGCCATCCTGGGGTGGATGAGAAGGGGTGGGTGTAGGGCAGAGAGGTTCTCCTGCCCCTCTGCTCTGCCCTGCTCACACCACAGCTGCAATCTTGTGTCCAGTGCTGGGCCCTCAGCTCCAGAAGGACAGGAACTGCTTGAAAGAGTCCAGCAGGGCCACAAAGATGCTGGAGGGAGTGGAGCATCTCCTGCTGAGGAGCGGCTGAGGGAGCTGGGGCTCTGGAGCTTGGAGCAGAGGAGACTGAGGGGTGCCCTCATTCCTGGGGATCCATTGGGAAAGGGCAGTGTCAGGAGGAAGGAGCCAGGCTCTGCTCTGGGATGTCCAATGCCAGGACAAGGGGCAGTGGTCCCAAGCTGGAGCACAGGAGGTTCAAGCTGAAGAGGAGGCCAAAGTTTGTGAGTGTGAGGGTTATGGAGCATGGCCCAGGCTGCCCAGAGAGGTTGTGGAGTCTCCTTGTCTGCAGACACCCAAAGCCCTGGCCGTGTTCCTGTGTGACTGCTCTGGTGATCCTGCTCTGGAGGGGTTGCACTGGGGGAGCTTTCCACGGCCCTTCCAACTCCTCACATGCTGGGATTCTGTGTGATTCTGCAATGCAAATGTTGAATTCAATGGGGAAGTCATTTGACGTGTGCATAGTTCACTGCACAGTGAAGGATGATCAGGACTGCCCGGGCTCACACTGAAAGCTCACAATCTGCAACCTGGATCTTATATCAGCCTGGTGTCCCATTGCATAGTAACCCCAGCAGAAACACCATGCAGTGTTTCACTGCAATATCATACGTTGTGTAAAGCCTCCTCTCTACACCAGAAAGCAAACTGTAAGAGCCAAAGCCCCCATGCACAGCGCCTGGGCTCAGAGCTGCTCACCTGCCACAAAGTCACCGAAGCCCACGGTGGTCAGGGTGACAACCACGAAGTAGATGGACTCCAGGGCTGTCCACCCCTCGATGTGCTTGAAGATGACTGCAGGAATGGTCACAAAGACAATGCAGCCTGCCAGGATAAAGAGGATGGTAGAGATCACCCGGATCTTTGTTTGACTCACTTGCTTCTTCTAGAAAAAGGAAATAACAAAAGAAGAGAACAAATATTTTTGAGCGGATTTCTGGGCTGTATATCTTGTGAATGGCAGACCCATCGTGCTGGTGTCACCTGGGATTTCTGTCTTATGTGAGCTTATTAGGTAGAAAACAACCCTCCCTTTCCATTAGGGAGAGCCCTCCCTGGGTAACAGCCAACCTCTACGTCTGCCCCCCAAAAATGGTGCATCCCATTTTGCAGGCACTGGGCAGTTACCAGAAACACAGCCTGGAAACCAGTCCACGCTTCAGAAAGGCACCAGTAAACTCCATACACTCAATGCGTAAGAAAACCAGCGCACATCCACACCACCATACATATATATATTTATGTACAACCACATTACCTCATCAGCCCCAAGCATTCAACAACCAAGATCAATTCCAAAATGAAAATAAACCTTTTTTTTTCTTCTAAAACCTCCAGATTTTATGTAGAAATAATTCATGCTTTGGGTTTTCTAGACTTTCCTTTGACTCAGGATTTCCAGCTTTCATTAACAAATATGAAGGTTAAATGTCCTTTTCAAATAGCTGTATTACCAGTTCACTCCAGAAATAAAGTATTTCTATCAAATACCAAAAAAACCTGAGATGAAATTACCTCTGCAAGTCCACACTGGAAGGCTCTTGAACAAGGAGTTTGTGTGTTACTGGCTATAAACCAAACCCAAATATGAGCAGCGTAATTGCAGCATTTGTCACTCCTAGATCATGTAAACTCTCACCTTATTTAATACAAACTTGGATTTAGTTTCCAGTAATGCTGCTGCAAGCTTGGATTAGCACAACTGATGGCTTTAGTTCAGATTTTCTGTGCTGTAAGTAAACTCAGAATGCAATAGGGCTTCACGAGAAACCTGGAAATGACTGGCAATCTTACAGTGGATTAATTACAGCGGCAGTATATGTTGTGTATTCATCCTGGGAAAGAAATGTGGAGGTCACTGCAAGCTGCGTATTTCCAAATTAGTTTTCCAAATCGAGCATCTCCCTTAACCCAGAAACGAGATCTCATTTCAGATTAGAACACTGCCTAGACAGGAAATAAGGTCTCCAAAGTTCTCTTTACAATACACAGAAGGGATATTGCCTGAACTGGTTCATATCTAACCGGCCTGTGAGCAGTGGTACTGCTTCCCCTAAAGCACGAGTGTTTACTTGGGAGGTGCAATGCCAGACCCTCATTAGGCCCTCATCTGACCTGGGCTGCTCTGCATTTACAACCCAGCTAAAAGAATAAATACGCCGTATTGCAGAAATAGTTTCAGTTCTGAAACTGTTTGTGATGTTTGTTGTTTTTTTCTGTTTGTGTGTGAGCATTGTTTGCTATCTGGATGAACAAAAATAGTTAAATAGGATGAGTAATACGATTTCATAAATAAGTTTAATCAAATACAAGACACTGGAAAAGTTATTACTGAGGTACCAAGGAGAAAAACAACACAAGAGTGCAAAACCTGGCTTGACTTCTTGTTTTCTGCTTTACTGGAGAGCCATTTGGAGCAGTTTGCTAAAATACTAAAGGATGATCCACCTTCTTTAAGAGTTACGGACACTTACGGCAGGATTTCAGACTTTCCTATGCGTAGCGAAGGGAAAGCGACTGAACACGTGGATGTTACGTGGTATCTTAGATGGGCAACTTGCTTATGTCACCAGGATTTAACCACGTTCTTTCTTTATTCATTTGCCAAGGTGACTTATTCATGTCTACTAAGTTGTAGTAACAATGAAGTGGCTGACACTCACTACAGTTATGAGGCACGAGCAGTCCTGTGTAGCACTGGGAATCCTTGGCCAAAAAGCACTGTGGAGCTGCCAAGCACTGCTAGCAAAGCAAAGTTATGCATGGTAAACCTCCCTCCACTCCCCATATACAACATTAAAGTGCATTTCAGTGCCTGGCTCATGGTTTTTGTGCACCTCAGTCACCCACAGCAGCCGAGGCTCTGTATTTTCCTTGTTCTTCCCGTGATACAAATGAAGTCAGAAAGCAATGGTGAGTCAGGAACAGCATTTCCAGAGCAATGAGCACAAAAGCAATACTCAGAAGCAGAGTTATTTACTAGTTACTTACACATGAAATACAAGATACAGGTAAAAAGGGGTCTTTTTACAGTCAGGTATGCATGCTGGGGACATCTACAGCAGACTGTAACTGCTTTAGATCCAAAGAGTGCTAAGGCAGAACTGTCATTATTCAAGGAATCACAGATTACATAAAGGTTGGTGTGCATGCTTTCATTGCGGGTAGAGCTGGCCTTGCTATTTTACCACAAAGAGCCTAATTTTGTGCAGTCCAGGTTCTCAGGAACAAGGAAATGCAGCCCTTACATTCCAGTTTTGGCACAGTTGTGTTAAGAAGAGACGACAATAGCCTCAGCCACTGCAGTATTTCAATGTACCAAGTCATTAGTAAAAGAAATATATATACATAATATATGAAATATGTAAGTTAAGTTCTATTCTATTCTATTCTATTCTATTCTATTCTATTCTATTCTATGCCATGCCATGCCATGCCATGCCATGCCATGCCATGCCATGCCATGCCATGCCATGCCATGCCATGCCATACCATGCCATACTATATCATATCCTATCATATATCATATCAATAAAATAATTGTTTATGCATATGTGTGTATGTATGTGTGTATATACATACACACACACACACACACACTAATGGTTGAGAAACCTGAAAAGGTTCATACCTCAGGCCTTTGATATACAGAGCCTGAAAAATGAGGCTGGTATTTTCACAGAAAGAAATACAGACTTTTCTATAGGTGTCCAAATGAAGCAGTAAGAGAGGCATTTCTCCAGGAATAGTGGTTTAAGTAAAATGAAAACACTTTTGAAAGAGATGTTTTCTACTTCTCGTTCTTGTTCAGTTTTGTTTTCCCAACAAGTTCTCTCCACGCTGATGAAGCAGATAATTTGTGAGACATTCATCAAATAAGATAAATAAATGAGTGCCTGCTAATGAGAGAGGCTCCAATTTAAATCCACCGAGAGAGAATCTGGAAAAGACTAAAGGAGTCGTCTAAAAAGAAAACATTTTTTCAAGAAAAGAGTTTTCAATCAGGCAGCAACCCACGAGGGGTCACTTCCATTTGCTAATGAAGGGGCTGAATTTACTCCTAAGGTGATTTAAGTGCTAAACAGGCAACATTGCTGCACAAGACATCACCTTGCTGATATTAATTCAAACAAAGTGATGGCAATCCGCTCCAGTGCCAAGAGGGCGGAGGACAGACATTCTCATGGAGATAGACTTACATCATTGGAATTTAGTTCTCATGCATCTTCTCCACCCATGAGTATAACCTTGTTTTTCCTTGTTTTCTACTACACTGGGGACTTACTGGTTTTGGTCTTATCCAGTCATTTCAGGAGTTAAATCCATCTTTTTCCTTTTCTTTTTCTCTCTCTCTGGTCATTATCTCAGGCACAATTTTTCTGACCACAATGTTGACAACAAAAGGTACGAACAAAGTTCCCAAGCTGAGGCCACGGGGATGGTAAATATTCCTTCCAAAATGGAGCTGACTCTCTTTTCCAAGAAGAAAACATTGAGTATGGGATAAAAAAGATGCTACAGCCACTTTTCAGACTAGACCAAATGCTATCTATATGGAACACAGATTATCTCCATGACCAGCAGGTTTCAAACACGTGTATTCCAAGATGTTGTGGTGTCACCTCCCATTTCACAGAAGCTCCCCCAATCTACAGTACTACTCAACCAAAAATAGTACGGGAACATTTGCTGCTTCACAGGGAGCTCAGATGGTTCCTCTGCCTTCCAAAAAATCCCTTTTCTGAATTCATGACAAATATCCCCCAGACTCCAAGCAATTTGGTTACCTTTTTGGCTAGATGACCAATGTATATTTTTACTTCTTTACTATACTGTCCCTCCATGGACCATGCTGTCCCCATCTTTCCACTGCATTTTGGAGCACTCCTCCACAGAAAATCCATTTCTTGACCATTTCTTTTGTCCTCTTCACCTCCTCTTAACTCTATGCTCTCTCCCATGCTGCCAAATATTCTTGAACAGATCGCCTCTTCCCATGCACTAATTAAACAGCTTGTCTTCTAAACCCATTTCTCCAGATCAAAATATTACAACAAAAGGAAAGCCGGTCTTTGCGCTCAAAGCAAAAATCAGAATATCAAATATATCAGTTCTGGTCATGCACGTTAGGTGTGTCCTTAGTCAAGACATTTTTGCTAGGCTAAATCACAGAAAACCCCAGCATGTCAGGAGTTGGCAGGGACCTGGAAAGCTCCCCCAGTGCAACTCCTGCCAGAGCAGGATCACCAGAGCAGTCACACAGGAACACAGCCAGGCAGGGTTTGAATGTTCCTCTTTTTTTGTTTGTTTCCAAATACAACTGACTTATTAAAAATTTATACTCATTAAATTCCCCAAGCCAAGTCTGTTCTGCCTGTACCTGGTAGGTGATTTTGCTGTCTTTATTCTGACCCATGACTTTTCTCACTCTTGTTCTTCCCTGTTTCTCCCTGACCACTGCAGGGAGGGCAGTGAGCAAGCTTGATGCCAGCCAGGGCCTGCTCACCACGTCAGTGACACCCATCAACACCCCCTGAAAGCACAGCAGCAAATTCTAAATAAGATGTTTTAAAACATGTATGACATTTCAGACACCTCCATGGTCAGGAGCAGTGGTTTTGAACCACTAGAGACCAGTGGGGCTTCCCCCACTCTGCCTAACCAGCAATGTTGATTCCTCAGTGCTATTCTGGTTCTCATGTTTTAGAAAGAAATCTGCTACTGCTGCACAAGAAGATGCAAAATCCATCCCCTATTTGTTAACTGTAGTAAGTTCCATAGGGGAGACAGATATAAAAAGCTGTAAGCACTCACATTTGTTACTTAATTTGGGAGAGACAGTCCTGAATACAGGCAAGGCACAGGTCAGACTGAAGGAGGATTATT